TAAAACCTATTGACATGGTACTGGTACTTCTGCTCGAACAGCGGGTTGGACTAGAAGACCTCCGAAGTCCCTTCCAACTCTGCTGTACCGATACGTTACTGTCCGTAGAAGTAGGCCGTCCACGAAGCTTCCTTGAGTCATGACCCTTGACGTAAGTCAACTTTCTGAGCCTCGAGTTATGTCCTTCGCTCCTTCCCCCTTCCTCCCCACGATTTACTTTCCTTGCCGGTGGCCAAAACCTGTTCTCTCCTTTTTTTCTCCCCCCTGGCTGAAGCCGAGTTGCAATTTTCTGCAGACAAGGGTTGGTGTGTACCGTGTGGCGTGCCAAGAATCCATCAGCTGGTCGTTCTGCAGTTGTGTTGGCCTTTAATTATGCATGCCTTTAAAACACAGTCATAAAGGCACCACAAAGGGATGCCATAAACTCGACTGGCGGCACAGAGAAGTGACATAAAAAACGGGGAAGGCATGCTTTTGAAGCGGCTTCGCTTTGTTTTTTTTTTTCCCCCTCCAAAACTCCTGATGTCTTTTCTGAAATGCAGATTTTTTTTCCCCTCCACTCCCCTTTTCTCCTCTCTCCCCCTCCATGAATTGTATAACCGGAATCCGGCTTTTATTTGCGGCACGCATATAAAATCTTCTCCTTCCCTTCCCTTCTGTCTCTTAAGACCTAGTCCTGCAAAACGTCCATTGCTGTTTGGCAAAAGTCTAGAATACTACCAGATGTAGCAGAATCGCAAGAGTTGCAAGGGACCTTCCAGGTCTTCTAGTCTGACCCCCTGCTCAGGCAGGAAACCCTATATCCGTGATGGCGATCCTATGGCACACGTGTTGCCCTAGCTCAGCTCCAGTGCGCATGCATGCGCCGGCCAGCTGATTTTCGGGCCTTCCGGTCCCACCAGAAGTCAGGAAATAGGCTGTTTCCGGCCTCCGGAGGGCCTCCAGGGGGTGGGGAAGGCCGTTTTTGCCCTCCCCAGGTTCCTAGAAAGACTCTGGAGCCAAGGGAGGGCAAAAATGGCCTTCCCCACCTATTTTCCGACTTCTGGTGGGACTCCTAGAAAGACTCTGGAGCCTAGGGAGGGCAAAAAAACGGACCTACATGCCAAAAGGGGAGGGGGTTGCATGCACATGCGTGTGGGGGTGGGGTGCATTGAATTATGGATGTGGGCACATGCGTGCACGACCCCCCCACTCTTCCCCCGCTTTTGGCACGCGACAGTAAAAAGGTTAGCCATCACTGCCCTATATCAGTGATGGCGCACCTTTTTTTCCTCGTGTGCCAAAAGCGTGCACGTGCACATGATACCACGCACGCATGTGCCGACACCCATAATGCAATGCTCCCTGCAGTCCCACCCCCTGTGCATGAGGATGTGATTTCCCTTGCTCCCCCACCCCCCCATGTATGCACATGCAACCCCCTCCCCCACACCCCCATACCCCCATGCATGCGTGTGTGACCCCCATTTTGGTGCTAGCAGGCCTCCCTGAAGCCTCCTGGGACCCAAAACAGGGCACGAGGGGGGCACCACATTCCCCATCCCTCCCCCAGACACGCACATGCAACACCCACCCCCCGCATGCGCATGTGCCTCCTGGCAGAGAACCAGAAATAAGCTGGCCGGTGGGAGGCAGTGGGCATGCATGGTGGAACTGACCTGGGCGTCAGCTCGCGTGCCCCCAGAGATGGCTCTGTGTGCCACCTGTAGCACATGTGCCATAGGTTCGCCATCATGGACCTGTATCCGTGATGGCAAACTTATAGCACGTGTGCCACAGGTGGCACACGGAGCCATATCGCTGGGCACGTGAGTGTTGCCCTAGCTCAGCTCCAGAGCATTTCTAGGGCCTCCGGGGAGGGGAAGGTCATTTTTGCCCTCCCCAGGCTCCTAGAAAGCCTCTGGAGCCTGGGGAGATTGAAAAATGGGCCTTCCGGTCTCATCAGAAGTTGGCAAATGTGCCATTTCTGGCCTCCGGAGAGCTTCAGCTCCGGAGCATTTCAAGGGCCTCTGGGCTCCGAGGCTGTTTTCGCCCTCCCCAGGCTCCTAGAAAGACTCTGGAGCCTGGGGCAGGCGAAAAACGGGCCCACCGGGCCATCGCGTGCCAAAAGCGGGGGAGCACGGGGGGGTCACTCAAGCATGCGCGAGGGGGATGGAGCACATTGAATTATGGGTGTGGGCATGTGCACACGTGACCCCCCCCGCTCCTCCCTGTTTTAGGCACGTGACAGCAAAAAGGTTAGCCATCACTGCCCTATATCATTTCAGACAAATGGTCGTCCAATCTCTTCTTAAAATCCTCCAGGGGTGGAGCCACCCACAACTTCAAGGAATTGGGTTTCCTTCTGTACCCAGCTCTGGTTTGCAGAACTCAAAGCCATCTCAGGTTACAAGACACTCGAATCCTCAACGTAGAATAGGACATAGAATAGAATAACAAGAGTTCGAAGGGACCTTGGAGGTCTTCTAGTCCAACCCTCTGCTCGAGCAGGAAACCCTATACCAGTGATGGCGAACCTTTTTGGCACCGAGTGTGAAAAAGGGAGCAGGTGTGCATGGTACCAAGTGCTGAAAAGGGAACGCTTCACATGCGCTCTTGTCTGGGCTCGTCTAGGAGTTGCCGAGGAGTGTGCACATGCCGGAGAATGTACTTGCGGTTTCTTCAGGTTACTGCTGTGCATGCACACACACCGATCGGCTGGCAAGCATATTATTATTATTATTATTATTATTATTATTATTATTATTATTTTATTGGTTAATCTTTAGTGAGATTCACAGCCTTTGAGGCTGGTTAATAGCTCAGCAGCTCGAGTCCTAACCAAGGACCTAGGAACTGTTAAGGTATCGTCGGAGGATGTATTATTATTATTATTATTATTATTATTATTATTATTATTATTATTTATTGGTTAATCTTTAGTGAGATTCACAGCCTTTGAGGCTGGTTAATAGCTCAGCAGCTCGAGTCCTAACCAAGGACCTAGGAACTGTTAAGGTATCGTCGGAGGATGTAAGCTGTTCCGAGTAAGGTGGTTTTTTGTAGAGTCAAAATGTTCAAGTCCGGCAAATTTAGAATTTCTAAATAGCGGGGTAGCCCTTTGGGTATTGCCCCGAGGGCTCCAATTACAATCGGGACAACACACGATTTCTTTTTCCACAGTCGCTCAACTTCAATTTGCGTTAACTATAATAATAATAATAATAACAACAACAACACAACAACAACAACACCTGACATAACAATAGTTGAAAAGAAAAAAGTATGGTTCATTGACATTGCAATAGGTAGGCAGTAGGTTTGCCATCACGGGCCTACAGTATAATAATCAGAATTCTTGGGCTCGCAATTTACCATCCATCCAACTAACACTTCCACATGCGCCAACTTTTCATTGATGTTTGATATGCATCCTGTAGGAAGCAACCTAAAGACTTTGGAACAAATCTAGCTTTTAATGGACAGGGAGCCCTCGACTTACCCACCGTTCATTTAGTGACCATTCCAAGTTGCAATAGCACTGAAAAAAGTAACTTACGACCGTTTTACTGATGAGCGTTGCAGCATCCCCATTGTCATGTGACCAAAATTCAGATATTTAGGACAGTTAGTTGCCATGTCCCGGAGTCATCGGATCCCCTTTTGCAATCTTCTAACGAGCAAAATCGACGGGGAAGCCAGATTCACTTAATAACCGTGCTACTAAGTTAACAATGATGCAATGATTCACTTTAATAACGGTGGCGAGAGAGGTCGTAAAATGGGGCTAAAAACTCACTGAACAGATGTCCCACTTGGCAACATAGATTTGGGGCTCAATTGGGGTTGTACGACGAGGGCTACCCTGTATTAGTAAGTGGGAATGACAGGAGGATGTTTAGATTGGATAGCTTGGACTCTGATTCCCATCGTCCTCTGCCCTTGTTGGCTGAGGCTTAGGGGAATTGGCATTCCAAGCATAAACATCTACCAGACATCGAGTCTGGGAATTAATCTAATTAGCTCTGCAGTGATTGGAAATGATTTCAGGCATAGATCTTTTGCTTGTCTAATGAGGTAGGGAGTTGTGTCTGTTACACGTTGGCTGGGCTCAACCGTGTTATGGAATTAGCTCATGTTCTGGATCCACTGAGCCATGAATAAACCAAACATGTTGAGTCGCTCCAAGAGGCCAATCCACAATAAACAGATCCAGTTTAGCAACACCGCAACTCCTTTCCCTATCTTGGCTAATCCTGCTTTGTGAACCCAACAAAAAAGAAGGAGCAGTGACCTACCTTCTCTAGATGATGCCGGTGTTGTGATCGAGTGATTAACAAACACAATTCAGTCCTGAACAAACTTATTTTATTAAAACAGCTGAGAATTAGTTCATTCTCAGCTTAGTCCAAAACAAAATTCTTCATAACCAGTCCGTCGGTCTTATCACCAACCTTTGATGTCTTTGGCAACCTGCCAATGGCTTTTCTTGGCAAACCCCCCACAAAGTTATATAAATATAATTAATTAATAAAAATAAAAAGTTCAAGAGATACTGACAAGAAGCACTGGAATCAATGTTGCTTTTCTACAAAGAACCCAACGGCTCGTTGCTGCTCTTTTAAGCCTTCTGGGAGGAGCCTATCATCTCCTGGCCTTACTCCCGAGTTGTCCTTTTTGCTTCAGCTGCTTTTGCCTTCTGCCAGCTCTTCTCATGCATGCACTAGGAACAGGCTCCTCCTGTTCCTCTGCCTCTCTGCTATCCGACTCTGGAGGCTCCGGAGTCCTCACATCGCTCCCAGATGGCCCTGGCCCCATCTCTGCCTCCGACGCAGAGCCCTCGTCCGGGCCTTTCCCTGACTCCAGAACTGGCCCATTGTCTTCCCCAGCCTCCTCACTGTCTGACTCCACTGCTAGATCCGCAGGCTGCTGGCGGACCACAACAGCCGGTTGACTTCTCTTGTCTTTTTGAGCTATCTGAGGCTTAGAAATCTAATCTCTCCTTTCCCTTTATTTTGCAGTGTCCGAAAGCCGAGGGGTTCTGGAAAGCGTCCAAAAATTCTCCTTGCTGCCAACGTACCTGCCGGTGAGTTACCACATCCACAACGCCGACATCTCCTTCTTCCTCAAAGAAGCCAACCAAGATATTATGAGGAACTCTAGCCTTCAATCCCGGGTGGAGTCCTTCCTCGTCTACAAAGCCAAGAGGCCGCCCACCTTAAACGCGACCTACGGGCCCTTTTCCATCGAGCAAGCGGTACCTCAGGACCTGCTGTCTTCTTCCAACCTCTTCAGATCCTCCTCCGTCCCCAGGATATCGCTCAACTGGAAGTTGAAGGCCTACATCTTGAACCGCAAGGTTTATCCCGGCAGGCCCAAAGTCCAGGTTCTCTTCTACATCGTTGGGAGAGATTGGGACGACTACAGCGTCTCGGAGCAGCTACCTTGCTTGAGGGTCTTTGCATTTCGGGAGACGAGAGAAGTCCGGGCCACCTGCAGGCTGGCAGAAAGCCTGGGATTTTGCATGGCTGAATTGCAGCTACTGCCCAGCTGGTTCAACCCTCCCACCGTGGTCTCTGGCCGGAAGAGGTTTCTGAATCAGTCGGAAGGGAGTCAGGTGGAATTATACTACGCCCTTCAAGACGAGAATGGGGATTGCACTACCAAGGAGGACTCGAGAAGGAACAACGGGGTCAGACCTGCGCGCAACGACATTGACGAATCGGGGCCGCCCCTGGAAAGGATCGGAAGTGTTTTTCTTTACCAGGCACAGGAGAGCCCCCCCTTAAGTGAACTGTGGCTGGATAGTAACGTCGTCCTTCAGTACCTACCAAAGACCCTGAAGCAAGGGGAATTGCTGACTTTCGTGGTGTCCGTGGCTAAAAACTCAACCCAGGACCAATTCACATTGAGGTAAATCAACAGTCATCTTTCATATAATACGGTAGACTGGAGAACCATTTGTCCAGGGTGGTGTAAGGTGTAACAGTAACAGAGTTGGAAGGGACCTTTGAGGTCATTAGTTCAATCCCCTGCTCATGCAGGAGACCTATACTAGGGATTCGAACCGCCAAACTGCCGACCTTTCTGATTGACAAGCTCAGCGTCTTAGCCACTGAGCCACCTAGCCAGGCAGGTCTCCTGCCTTGAGCTGGGGGTTAGACTAGAAGACCTTGAAGATCCCTTCCAGCCCTGTGATTCTGTGATTGAGTCTGTGGTTTTATGAGTGTATGGTTGATTCCTTGATCATTCTCCAGGATGGTAGAGGGTCTCCTGCCTTGAGCTGGGAGTTAGGCTACCAGTAGAAGACCTTGAAAGTCATCCAGCCCCATGATTCTATGATTCTTCAATGGATGCTATGATAATTACTTCTCATTCCTCCACAATTTTCCCCCCAGATCTCCTCTGCAAATGTTAAAAATACTTTGTGCTTCAAGTTTTGGCTCGATGTGTTTTGCACAATGTCTATTTGGCCAAGCGGGTAGTATGGTGGCATCTCTTTGGTGTGTATATCGGACATAATAACCACCATGCCATTGGGTCTAGATTTGGATTGGACAGGATAGTCAATTTGCAAAATTTAGATACTGGCGTGAGACGAGCATTCTGATCTCTGGGTATTTGAGCTAGGATATATTTAGGATGAAGTCCATAACTTGGTGTTAGGATCTGTGTTTTGTAGGCAGGTGATTTCAAATTTGGTTTCAAGGAACTAATATAAGTTCCTGTCGTCAGCCTCCAAAACCAAGAATGATATCTGGTGATTCTTCCGAGCTGAAGAATTGTTTTACACCTCTAGACAGAATCTTGCCAAATTAAAGCAGATCCACATGAAATCTGTATTCTGGGAACTATTAAACTGTCTTCACCCTCTTCCTCTCACACAAACTCTCTAAATGGAGTTGTCTCTTGCTCCTATACATCTTCACCCATGAAACGACATGTTCATCCATGTTGTATGATTGTAGTATTATTATTATCTTTCTCATCTTCTCTACTACCCCTTCTTATAGGTATCATTATTATAATTATTAGTACTTAGTTGCTTTGCATGTACATTGAGAACTTCTGCACCGGAGACAAATTCCTTGTGTGTCTAATCACACTTGGCCACATAAAGTATTCCTAGTCTAGTCTAGTCTAATCTAGTCTAGTCTGGTCTGGTCTGGTCTGGTCTGGTCTGGTCTGGTCTGGTCTGGTCTAGTCTAGTTTTACTCTACTCTACTCTACTCTACTCTACTCTACTCTACTCTACTCTACTCTACTCTACTCTACTCTGTTGTTTCATTTTGTTCTTTACCTCTACTTTACCTCTACTCTACACTACTTGTTTCATTTTGTTATTTACCTCTACTCTACTCTACTCTACTCTTATTCCATTCCATTCCATTCCATTCCATTCCATTCCATTCCATTCCATTCCATTCCATTCCATTCCATTCCATTCTATTCTATTCTATTCTATTCTATTCTATTCTATTCTATTCTATTCTATTCTATTCTAATATTAACCATAATATTTCCCATCTTTCCTGGAAATCCAGACTATGACATTCCACTATATTTGTCATGCCAGGTGATGGTGTTACAAGTGTTGCAGAACTTTAAGGGCCACAGCTTTGCTACCCTTAGCAAAGGGAGTGACACGTTAAACTGGACTGCCTATAGTGCATCTCAGCTCTGTGCTTTGCTATGTCAGCTTGGAACAAGGCATCTCTACGGGGGTGGCATTTCTCAGTGAGTTGGCCCATCTATAATTTTCCATGCCTCTAATTCTTATAAAGTACCACAGGTGTCCAATTTTCCTTCCTCAATCTCTGTGTTTAAGTGCAGAACAAGGGGTAGCCTTCTTTCATTCAAAGCACATACTCAGGCAGGCCTCTTTATATAACCGCGATAGTGGTTAATTTTTACTGCCGGGTGCAGATGGTGTAGTGTTAGAGCCACCTTTGGAAAGCACGTTGCACTTGGCCCCCTGGGATCTAGTCAGAGTGCGGAATCGCTTTTTGAGAAATGAGAAGGAAGTGAGATAAAACCGACTTAATGTCATTTGCCTAGGATGAGTAGATGCCAAATGTTGGACTTTTTATCGTTGATTCTGGTTCTACGAGCAGAGCTAATTAAGGGAACGACATGAAAGATAAAACCTTTGGGTTTGGCTGGCAAGCAGTAAGGTTTCAGGACCCTGGACAGCTCCGCGAAAGATAGTAGTTGTTGCCTTAGGACAGGTAAACGCAATTTCAGCTTTTCAAAAGAGTTCAGTGGGTGAACGGGTTTTGTTTTTTTTCCCAACTAACTTTATTTCACTTTTACAAAGCATACATATGAAGAAACAACGCAAACTAACAATCGACAGAAATGATAAAGAGTAAAAAGAGAATCGGCATGGGAGTGTGAAAAAATATAAAGGAAAAGAAACAAATATGTACAAAAAGAACTCCCGACTTCTTCTTTGAAGAACACAAAGAATGCTTACTTTCAATGTTTAGTCTAAGACTTCATGTAGTCCTCGACTTACGACAGTTAGTTTAGTGACCGTTCAAAGTTACGGCGGCACTGAAAAATGTGAGTTACGACTATTTTTCACACTTGTAACCATTGCAGCATCCCCACGGTCCCATGACCAAAATCCGGACGCTTGGCAGCGGATTCAAATGTATGACGGTTGCAGGCGTCACGTGATCCCCTTTTACGACCTTCTGACAACCAAAGTCAATGGGGAAGCCAGATTCACTTAACAGCTATGTTGCCAACTTAACAACAGTGGCAAGAAAATGGGGCAAAACTCACTTAACAATATATCTCACTTAGGAACAGAAGTGGTGGGCTCAATTGCAGTTGTAAGTCAAGGACTACCTATATAACAAAATAATCACACACACACCCAGAAAAAGATTTTTTTTAAAAAAAAAACAATTTCCCCTTTTTAAATTTTAACAGTTGTAAAATCTATAAGGAGGCCTTGGTGGCGCAGCAGACTAAAGTGCTGTTAAGTAGCACTTAGCTGCCAGCTGCCTGCAATTACTGCAAGTTCAAATCTCACCAGGCTCAAGGTTGACTCAGCCTTCCATCCTTCCGAGGTGGGTAAAATGAGGACCCAGATTGTGGGGGGCAATAAACTGACTTTGTATAAAAAAGAACACCCCTTAGGGGCCCCCGAAAGCCCTACTAAGCAGGTATATACAAAAGTATGAAGGCTATTGCTTAACACATTGAAGGCCACCCTGAGTCTCCGGAGAAGGGCGGCATATAAATCGAACCAATAAATAAATAATAAATAAATAAGTCAACATTTGATTTCCTCCCCTCCCATCTCCTGTAAACAGTCCACAAAGGGCTTGTAATCACAGGTGAACATTATGGTTGAACTTTTACGCTGTTATCCCCCAATAGGTGGTAATGGTTCCATGGTGATGGAAGGGAATATTTTTCTACTCATATTTCTAAAATGTCTTTTGTTGTTGTTCTTCTTAGAAAGACCGTACTTAGAAAGGGATTGGACAACCCTTTGTCTGAAATAGTATAGGACAGGGGTCAGCAACCTTAAACACTCAAAGAGCCATTTGGACGTGTTTCCCACAGAAAAGAAAACACCGGGAGCCACAAAACCCTTCCCGTGCCTGGCTATTTCTTGAGCGGCCACAAAACTAGCATATGTAGTCGAATTCAACGTTCTGTTTTCGTCTGAAACTTTTCTTTTCTTGGATTTATCCATGGTTGGCCTACCGGGGGTCGAAAAACCCAATAAATCGCGTGCCGGCGGGTGTCACACATTGGCAGTTGTGATGCATATTTTGAGCGACAGGGAGCTGCAGCAGAGGGATGAAAGAGCCACATGCGGCTCCAGAGCCACAGGTTGCTGACTCCTCGTATAGGAGTGGAGGGCTGGACTAGAAGACCTCCAAGATCCCTTCCAACTCTGTTATTCGGTATCCTAGAAGTTATAAATAGGAAAGACACATGGAGATCCCATTGTTGTTTTTTTTTCTCTCTCTCTCCAAAGTTGCCATCTTGTCTTTGACCTTGGAGAAGAAAACCTAAGATCTCCATTTTTAACCCAGAAACTGTCAGGGTTCGAAGTGGTACACCCATAGCAAACAAAACTCCAAGGGATGTACATTCCTCAAATAATAGTTTTATTTGGAGATATCATATTGGCGCAGTTCTGGTGAAAACCAACTCTGAAAGTTCCCGCGGTTTTCACCTAATTAAAAGTTTTTCCCCTTCTCCAATCAGTCATGTGGTCCAATCAAAGAGCTGTCCGGTTGCTTGGTAACGTCACTCCTCCTCTCTCCGGCCACCTGTGTGAATGACCTTGGTTCCCAAGAGAAAGCATTTTGTTTTGGCTACAAAACCCCAGCTATCTCTATTCCCCCCTCTCCCTATCCCTCCAAAATGACTTCGCTCAAGTCAGCTTCAGGGTTGACCAAAACTTTGGGATGACTTTCTAAATATCCCGCCCTCTTTATATTTTCAGCAGCAGAAGCCATCCGACTCTTTCACTACAGAAAGACAGGATGTACACATGTTTCAAAAGATGTAATTGAATAATACCGAAACACAAAGCTGGGCATGGAACCAATCACACTCGTGAAAAAAGAAAAAGAAGCTATTAGACAACCAAATTCAACAATATCCAAACAAACAGCCCCTATTCCCTCTGATTTATTAACAATAAACAATGAAAATCACTCTGAATGAGATCAGAAAACAGCAATGGGAAAAAAAAAAGCATCGACAAACGCCAAAACCCCAAAAATAAACAAATTAAGTGTGACAAGAATACGAAAATGTTTGTTATATCTCATCTCTCGGTAGTATATATATTTGGTGTAAAACAACATGAAGAACAATTAAAAAAAAGAAAAACTTCATGCCCAAAGCAGCAAAATTAAAAGCTGCATCATATTCTAAGCCGTGCCTGGTGTTGGGTATTTATTGAACAGTCTCAAATCTCCAATGGTGGTGAGACTTTATTTTATCGATAAAACCACCCAGAGGCGTTAGGAGTCAGGCAGCGTAGCAATTTAACGAATCAGTACCAATTATTATAAATATTTTTTTTTCCTCTCGGCGCTCTCGGTGCTTGGTTGTTTTGTTGCAGAATTTCATTACCAAACCAGGTAACATCATTGGTGTTAGAAAGGAGAGGATTTGTGTAGTGGTGAAATGCAATTTTTTTTTGTTACTGGTTCGGTGGGTGTGGCTTGGGGGGGAGGTCAGGTGACTGGGTGGGCGTGATTAATTTTTTTTTCTTTTTAAAGCATTTTTAACTACCTATTCGCCCGAACCAGAGCGAACCGGTAGCATTTCACCCCTGGATTTGTGAGGAGGAGGAGGGGGAGGAGAAGGAGAAAGAGGAGAAGAAGGAGAAGAAGGAGAAGGATGGCTACTTGACGCTCTCTGAGCTTGGCGGCTTTCTTGCAGATGTTTCATTACCAAACTAGATAACATCATCAGTGTTAAAAAGGAGGAGGAGGAAGGGAAGGGAGGGATCAACATTTCATTTTCAGGGGTCCTTGAGGTTCTCCGAGCTTGGTTGTTTTCTTGCAGATATTTCATTACCCCACTAGGTAACCTCATCAGTGCAAATAATTTATTTTAATCCAAAGTTTGGGAAAAGCACTATTATAGGTCGTCCTAGGTTTTATACACAATTTCAGATCCAAACCTTTATTGTCAGAGTAACAACATGTGTACTATGAGATTGGCTGAACCTCCCTTCGTGCACCCACCCACACCCACACCCACACACACCACACAATACAACTCACAGCGAAAGACAGAAAATCCCTATCCCCGTGAATCCTGCTGTGAATTTATTTGAAGGCTCGCTCTTGCCCCAGGCTGTGGCCAAAGGAGTTCCTTGAAGGCTCTTTTTGTGAAACTTTGGAAAGGGGCAAAGTCTTGCAGCTTCTCCCAAGTCTCCCAGGTTTTCAAACGTCTAGTTCAGTGATGGCGAACCTGTTAAGGAATATGCGCAGAATAACCCTTGAGTAGCAAGGTTGTGCACATGAGAAACGACTGAGAGTGATTGTGAATAAGCACTGTCAATACACAGACACACTGAGTTGTGATATTCTTTTACTTTTAGGAAAAAGCAAAGCAAAGTCCAATAAACAATCCAGGTCATCCACAGATAAAGATAGTTAAATTGTCAATCCAGGGATATTCCAAGAACAAAGTCTTCTTACCAGTTGTTGTAGTCATATGCAATAAAACAGTTCTTTTTGGAGAACTGTTGGGGAAAAGGTTCTGTTAGGGAACCTTTTTTTCCTCGTGTGCCAAAAGCGTGCATGCGATAGCGCACGTGCATGTGCTGACACCCATAATGCAATGCCCCCCGCAGCCCTGCCACCTGTGCATGCACATGTGACTCCCCTGTGCTCCCCCACCCCCGTGCATGCATGTACGACCCCGCCCCATGCCCCCATGTCCCCGTGCATGCGCACGCAGCCCCATTTTTGTGCTCCCTGAAGCCTCCTGGGACCAAAAATGGGGGGCATGCCGCACCCCCCACAACCCATTTTGGGTCCCAGGAGGCTTTAGCACCAAAATGGGGCATGGGGGGCACGCCACAACCTCCCCAACACCTCGTTTTGGTGCTAGCAGGCCTCCCTGAAACCTACTGGGACCCAAAATGGGGCACGGGGGGCGCTGCACCCCCATTCCTCCTCCGCGCATGCATGTGCAATCCCCACCCACCCAGAGGTGGGTTTTAAAATTTTTTACTACCGGTTCTGTGGGCGTGGCTTATTTTGTGGGCATGGCTTGATGGTCATGTGACAATTCTTTAGGATTTAGCAGAGATACTGGTCTACCAGGCTCTTAACTGCTTGTAGAGCTGTATCGGTATACTTATTTGTTTTTGGAGGCACCGGTCTACCACCATACTGCCTTTTAAGACTGATCAGCTGTAGGGCGGCCCTTTGAAGCCCCGCAGCAAGAGTTTAAACAGTTTTTTTTTCCTTCCAGCCCATCAGCTGGGACTCAGGAGGCAGCAATAGATTGGGGGTGGGGCCAAATAAAAGGTAAGAATAATGCGGGGGCGGGGGCGGGGGGGGCAGAACCGGTTCGGTGACGTCATATCG